GGGAACTGCAGCAACGAGAGTGGACATGGGGAAGAGCAGCAAGGCACCTGCTCTGCCTTTGCCCTTAGGTGCCAACCGCTGCCACTCGCTCTCATGCACCGTCTCGCTAACTCGCATTCAAGCCTCTGGCTAGCCCAGGGCCAGCGACTCCTGCATCTAAGTGCTCAAGAGACACCACGCTGTAGGTTAGTTTAAGATTAGAAGTGTCACGGTCTTTACATGCTCATCGGGCGAGTATCCGAGTACTATAGCCTTCTATAAATATATTTGTGGGAGTAAAGGCAGGATTACACCGTACACCGGTGCTTTTGGCCAGTAAGAAGCTGACAGGCATCGCGTTGGCCATTTGCAGGTTTCCCCGGGCCGCTGCGCCACGTTACCTGCAGCCCAGCCCTCTGGGAGCGCGAAACCGCCTTCGCCTTGGCCTTCCCGCTGTCCTTTCCAGCTTTACCACCAGCCTGAAGAGAGAGAGAGAGAGAAACGGTGGGATTAAAACAGCCCCTCGGGGCGCCTGGGAGAGGCGAGGGCCGCCGCGCTGCATCCGCGAGCGGAAAGCGCTCTCTTTGCTCCGGCTCGGGAAGCTTATCCCCCAGATTTGAAGGATTTATTAAGAGTTGCACTCTGGCCATCAGCTGATCCAATTCGCCGTTCACAAACTGATCCGACTGAGCCGTTGTGCTCCGCTCGCCGCAGTTTCTCCTCAAGCAGATTTGTTTCTCAGTGAGAGCCCAGCGCTGGGGTTTAGGTAGCTCTGAGTTCTGCATAAACCCTCCCCGCTGCACAGAGAGTCTTTCCAGAGGCTTTCGGATGCATTTGTTATTTGGGGCTCCTGGATTCAAGGGCGATTCCCGCCCTGCAGCAGAACAGCACAACGTCAAGGAGCCCCCTAACATCACGGTTTCACCTCGAGCCACGTTGCAGGGTCACTACAGGTGGCTGAAGTCACAGGCCTAATTAGGGCATTTGTAACACACGGGTGTCAAAACTGCCACCGTTTGTCTGACAAACTTCCTGCAGAGTCCTGGAATGCACAACTTGGAAAGCACCTGGGAAAGGAGGAAGAACTAAATAGGAGGCCGGGTTTGAGGCTCTTGGCCACCTCAAAGTGACATTAGAAGATGCCTGAACCCCTTCATGGCTAAAGGCAGCAGTCCCGACCAACACCTGATCCAAGCCCAGGGCATTCACAGAGTCCCAAAGCTCCGACCAAAGGGATGGTGTCCGGCCTAGAATTCCTGGCCACGCTCTCCCACCTCGGGGCAGGGGGGCCCATCTGAAGTGACGATTAAAATTCCTGTTCCACACTTGGCACTTCCAGGGTGCCTGGGGGGCTCTGCTTCAGCCTGCTGCCCCACGAGGACTGAGCGATAAGAGAGGAGGTGAGATGGGACAGCAGCACCAGCAAACACGGAGGGACGGGGGCGATCGCAGTTAACGGCCGCGCGGCCCGGGCAGCGGCGAGCTGCCGTCACCAAGCGGCACTCGGAGACACGCAGCGCCAAGGCCCGAATCCAGCTGCCCAGGCAGCTCCTGCGGAGGCAACGCGCGTAACCGGCCTCCTGGAAGACGCCGGAATCCGCGTTTTTACCCTACGTAGGGACAGGGCTTTCGAGCTGGGGTGTGTGCTGGTAGCACAGAGGTCGGTGATTCAGCTGCTCGCGCCCCGGCGGGGAGGGAAGACTGTTTACGGACATTTTACGTCGCAGGCTCAACCCTCCTGGGACTGCAGTGAATTGGGTCTTATCACAGAGAGCAGGAACTCGAGGTACTTCTGCCAGGCGGCGTTTTCAGTTCACAGAATTTCAGCATTCGACACAAAAATCAGAAAGGGAGGCCTGGGATCTGCTTCTCTTTCTCGGCAAGATTGTTTTAGGGAAGAAAAAAAAAAAAACACACAGCAGAGCTTCACACTGAGGGGTTTTTTTAGCCCACTGAATTTCTCCACTTTTCTGTTAAGTTTTCTACCTGTCAGCTTCCTGCCTACTTACTCTATTATATTTGACTAAAACGAGGAAAAAAATGTCTTAATAGATTCCAAGTTCCCACCGCTCCCGATTCTGAGCAGCAGGCGGGGAGCAGCACCAACCTCCACCTAGAAGAGCAGAGCAACCTCAAGCGAGGCCGTTCCCGGTGCTTTGTGTGTTGTCAAGTGCCTTAGCTCGAGTACAGGCAGTTGTTCCCAGCAGCACAGCCCCGTGCGCTGCTGCAGCTTTGCATTCGAGCCCTATTTAACCATTTCTATAGCCAAAGCATATTCATGATCAACATTCCCGAAGAGCAGTGTTTCCTTTTCCATAGGGAAGCGTTTTATGGAAAGGCTGTAGCCAGGAGAGCTGCTCCAATAATCCCAGCGCAGGAGCAAAGCCTGGGAACACAGCCTAGCTCTTGAAAAAAAGCGATTTATTAACAGAAGACTAGTTTATGCAGTGGAATTAAAGACTATCAACATTATCTCGCTCTTCAGAGGGTCCCAAGCCTTTCTAACTTGGAAAAACCTTGTCCCCGAGCACCCGCCGTGAGGACGCAGGGATCTCTTGCCCCGGACGCTCGCGGAGAACACGCCGGGTTCTTCCTTTCCGCACCCGGACGCTGCTTTCGGACAAGCGCCTCTCCAACGCTACGCGCCGTCCTGGCTCTAAGCAACTCCGGCCTGCGCCGTCTTCAGGACTTACATTAATTCCCAGCCAAGAGGATATTTTTTCCCTGTTTACTGCAACAGATGCACATCTGCAATATACATATATATATATATATATATTTAAAGCACAAGTTTTAACTTCTGTTCCCAGCTTCATTTTGCAATGCCCTTGGTGATGTTTCATTATCGTCACCGTGAGCCAGTGACATTAAATAATACATCCTGTTCCGCAGAATCGCCCCGAAGCTCTTTGCTTATGCTGCAAGAAGCGGACCCTAGACCTCATTCCTACAATAAACCTCCCTGGATTTCAAGCCTTGCTCTTTCCCAGCAGGTAGGTAACTTCAGTTCTTTGGAAACGCAACAAAACTACTTCCAAGAGCAATTTGTTATCAGCTGCCAGAAGTTATGAGATATCCGTGAGCCCAGTTTTCCACAGCAGGATCAGCGTTGCATAATCCTGCCGGCGCTTCCACTTTAACCCTTAGCGAGCAGGGCCCTTAGCTCGGATTTTTGGGGAACTCCTTAGAAATATCGCGAGCAAACGGACCTAAATGAGAGACGGCCGCAAGCTCCCTGCAACTGCCTACGAAGGAGGAGGAAAAAGGCACGCCGGCAGAAGATGCGATACACTGCGTACGTTGTGCACGCCGAGCACGCGCTGACTTTATTAAGGACCTCTAAAGCCTCCGTGCAAGCTCCTCGGCACCCCGTCTGCGATGCGGCCGCAGCCGGCGGCACCCGGGGCCAACACCACTCGGGAGCCCTCTGCCAAGGTCGGCAAACAAACAGCGGGCGGGCGCAGGAGCAGAAACCGCCACCGTTCTCACAGGGTTTGGATGCCAGGACAAATAAACCGCGCGGCGGAGGCGGCAGGGAAGAGGAAGGCTCCGCTCTGCCCACGCTGCTGCTCCCTCCCGCGGCTCCCCGCCGAAGGGGCTGCTCTGAAGAGCCAACGCCGCG